TGATGTGTGTGTGATGTGTGTGTGTGTGTGTGATGTGTGTGGTGTGTGTGTGTGATGTGTGTGTGGTGTGTGATGTGTGTGATGTGTGTGTGTGTGATGTGTGTGATGTGTGTGATGTGTGTGTGTGTGATGTGTGTGTGTGATGTGTGTGTGTGGTGTGTGTGATACGTGTGTTTCCTTACCCGTGTGTGTTTTTTCCCGCGTGTTCACGTCATTGTGCGTCATCCGCTGGAAGAGGCGATACCAAGAACGCGGCAGCTCCTGCAGCTGAGAGAGCAGAGAGGGGGCGGAGCGACTCCCTGCCCTGCTATTCGCTGTGACAGCTCCAGAGACCGGCCCCATGTTTGGATACAATGTATATCCTTAGAGTGAAATGTATCAGTTCTGATCGTCTCGGCCGATAAAAGAGCTTTTAGTGAGATCTGACTAAAGTCAGGACCAGTCTCTAAGGTTATTATTATGGGATGTTCCTAACCCTAACCCCCTAAAAGAAGGGGGAGGTTCCCGGGAGAAGGGGGGAGGTTCCCGGGAGAAGGGGAGAGGCTCTAAAGTCCTGGAGGCTTTGTCAGCATGTGGGTTCAGGATAGAGGAGATGATGGGTGTAGTAGTAGCAGTGTGAGGATAGGAGTGAGGGTGATACGTATATGCAGTGGGGGAGGGGTGAAGGAATGAAGGAGTGATGCGCCCATCATCTCTTCTATCCTTGATTGGGGGATTTCCTGATATTAGAGGAGTTGATGAAATTACTGGACAGAAGCTCGTTGAATATTTTCCCTTGTCCCGGATTGCTCTGCAAAACGCATGTATACTGACCTGTGAAACGCATGTATACTGACCTGTGAAACACATGTATACTGACCTGTGAAACGCATGTATACTGGCGACCTGTGAAACGCATGTATACTGACAACCTGTGAAACGCATGTATTCTGACCTGTGAAACGCATGTATACTGACAACCTGTGAAACGCATGTATACTGACAACCTGTGAAACGCATGTATACTGACCTGTGAAACGCATGTATACTGACCTGTGAAACGCATGTATACTGACCTGTGAAACGCATGTATACTGTGGGGTGGATAGTATTTCTCCCACTGGCCATTACATCAATACAATGTCCGCTGGGAGGAACCACAGAGCCCAGTGGGGGGGGGGGT